TTGAACCACCAGCCTTCTGATTAGCAGTCAAGTGCCTTAGGCACTACGCTACCAGAGCTCCCAGAATTATCATTAAGTTCTGGAAATATTGGGGGAGGTTGATTGAAGGGCATAGAATTGCTGACCTCAGCACAGAAAGTGGAGCATTTCAGAGGAAATAGCTTGAGGAAATGCCTAAAGGAAAAGATGCATGTGAATTGTATGAGGAACTCAAAAAACATCGGGTTTTTAGACCAGGAGTCAGGGTAGGGAGTGTAGGTATGGCAAAGTGTGGAGCACACACCTAAATACCTTCCTTCCCTTGGCCACAGCAGACAGTACTAATTGACCCCAGAACTTTCCATCTTGGATGTTAGAATCTTCATAGGACCATGCATAGCCTGCCACTATCATTTGATTAGAATTGGCAACATGATGTGAACTCAACTTACTGCCTGGGAAATAGTTACAAATAAGGTGAGGACAGAAGAAAAAATGGTCCAGGTAATGTGTTGTCCTATTTCAAACGTTATAAATATAGCTTTGACCTCAAGGGTGAATCATCTATTACTGTGAAAAATATATACTGGTTAAATCAGTATAGCCAAAATATACATAAAGTTACTGTGTGTGTGTGTGCGTGTAAATCATTAAAGAAAGAAAAATGTATCTGTGAAGATATATTCTCAACAGAAAATGACTTCTTTAATAAAAGAATGTTTGGGAAAAATCAATTTAGCCAATCAAAATCAGTTTAATATATATCTCAAAACAGAAAACTATGCTAAAGTTCTTTGCAGAGACCCCTAGAGGTTAAAAATTCCTCTAGGGTATGGACTGTATCTTAAACTCCTTTTCAATGCTTTATTAACTGGTTTAACAGCATTATATATATATATATATATATATATATATATATATATATATATATATGTGTGTGTGTGTCAAGTAGTTTGGAATAAGGATAAAATTTACTGTGTCTGGTATAACTTCCTGCAATGGGCACAGGTTACAACTGCTGTGTATGAAAATCATACCTATCTTAATATGTTTCATGTATTTGTGAACTCAGTTATGTCAGTTCCTAACTAACACAGATACTAATATC